TTTATACATGCATATAGGGACTTGTTGGAAAATAGTCATCACAACAGTGGTTATGATAGCCAGAAATAGAAAATAATAAAAATGTTATAGATACATAAAACAGTTCTTCCAATGGAAAACTATATAGCAATGAAAATGAATGACTGAAGCTGAATTGACTGAAATGAATGAAAATGAATTTACTGACATGTATAAATCTCTAAACATAATTTGTGCAAGAAAAATTGTAGAATGATGTGTACAATATCAACATGATACTGCTTACATAGTGCGTAGAATAGCAAACAACACTAGTTGATTCTCAAAGTTTTCAGGTGTAGAGAAAGCAAGAAAAACTCATATGGGATTCATAAATTCCAAATTCAAGGGAGAGAAAGGAAGTGAAATTGGAGAGGGCTTCAAAGGTATCTGTCATGTGTTATTTCTTTAGTTGTTGAAATTGTCCATTAAAAAAACAAAGCAAAAATATTTTATATGCTACCTGAGACATGGGTGTCACCTTATCACTTACTAAGTTGAGGTTTATAGCATAATAGGATATTGGAAAACAAGCTTTTTTTTTTTTCCTCTAATTTAAATACTGTGTGGAGGATTGTGGGTTATTTTCCCATCTTATATGATTAGGGAAACCTACAGAAATATAAGCCAACCCATTTTTTAACTCAATATGATTTTACATATTTTACTAACCTCTGTTTTTCCTTTGATGTATAAGATGAAAGAATTAGGAAGAAGAACAGAACAATTACACTTTTATCCTGTAAATCCCACTTCCTCACAGAATACTCCAGTGACAGCCATGGTCCCCATTTGTTATTTATTTTCATTTATAGTCTTTTTAAGGAATCATCTGATTTTTGCTTGTTCCCTCAAACCTATGGTTATTTCTGGCACAAAAGTTCTTTGAAAAACCTAATTTGACAAGCTGTATGCTATCAGAATTCACGTGTTACAGAGCAATTTCATTTGCCGTTTTAAAGGTGGAATTTTGCTTGCATCTACTGTTCTTAATCTGTCATCAAGCAGCATAATTATGAGGGTAACAACTGAATTTCTCCTTTTTACTGACAATGGTGCAAGAGTTCCTTTTTCCTTTTTGGTGCTGGAAGGTGTCATACTGTTGCCCATTAAATATGTGACAGCTGAAGTGAGAAATTCATTGTGTTGCTATAAAAATCCGTGTGAATGCATCTTTTTCCCTTTCTCACCCACCCCCTTCCTCTATTACTGGAATATTAACAGGGAATATAAGTGAGATAAATTAAACTCTGATCTTGGTTTGTTTAAAACTCTAAAACTTAATTTGTTATCAAAAAGCATAAACAACATCCTACAGTAAATTTATAAAAGCCAGGAATACAGAAAATGACTGTGACTGTAATATGTCATTATTTTGCGTAAAAAACATTTCATTCACACTGAAAGTTGATAAACACCAATAAATTGTCACAATATCTTTTCACTTTCCTTAGTGCCTCCAAAGCTTTATTTTAGATACATTTTAATTTGACTTTTGCAGAAGATGAGGGAGTAATTTTGGATTCATTGTAAAATGTAGTGCTAGGGCCCTAGGAAGCAGTAGATGATGAGGACAGGTGTTGGGCCCTTGAGAACCCAGGTGGGGAGTTTGGGAATAGGAGTCAGGAGAAGGGATAGGTCAGACTCCCCCATGAAATTAAGAAACCAGTCATCATTCAGCAAGTTATAGGGAGAAGCCTTTCAAACTAGGTGCAAATAAGGTATCTAACTATGCTAGATACTTTTCAAGGCAAACAATCAGGAGCCCAGAAACTGTCAGTGGTCAGTAATTGTATTGCCAATATGTCTGCTCAAGCCCTGGTGGAGGAGGACTCTATTGCAGAAGTCATCTGCTAAATGAAAAGTCAGAATCTTAGTGGAGTCCATGATGGACATAAACCATCTCCCCTCAGCCTCATGACTATACTTTCTGAATATGACTGTACTTTCTAATACAAAACTTATGGATGAATATGGAGATTCCATACTGTGGCAGGAGTCAGCCTTAATTTAACCCAACATTTACTAAAGTGAGCGCAATAGTTCAAGATTCTCTATTTCCACAAAAATCTGCATAATCCACAAAACTTGAGAAGTCTTCATACTGTGTGTTACACTGTAAGCTACAACATTGATTTCTTATGTTTTTGCATTCCCTGTTCATTTCATTCATGCATTTAGTCATCCAACAAATATTTAATAAATCCCTCCTGTGAGTCAGACAACTACTAGCTGCTGGGGGATAGAATGAGGGGCAGGGTAGATACAGTCCTACACTCTTATATCTTATAGTTAATGCAGAAAGATACATATTAAAATAACTAATTACAATATAGTGTGCTAAGAGTTGAGATAGAGGAGATTCAGAGCTCAAAGGAAGCATATAGCTAGGGTACCTAACCTGGTCTGAAAAGGGGCAAGGAAGAGATCATCAGGAAGTGCCATTTATCCTAAAACCTGAAGATCAGGTAGTAGTAAGACTGGCATGTAATATTCAGTCATCAGAACAGCAGTAACAGTAGCAACAGATAGCTAAAGATGATGTGTAATTACGCTCTTACTATCTGCAGGTACTATGCTAGATACTTTTCAAACATTATATCAGGTATCCTTCGAGGTAGGTTTTATTATTTGCCCAAGGACATATGGTTAATAAGCAGCAAGAGCCAGAATTTGAATCCCCTGCCCCACAGCTGTCTCTCAAAGCAATTGACTGATTTTGGTTATATTTGTTTTGCTAAAATGAAATCATTATTTCAGTGATAACTTAAGTTTGCTTTGTTTGTGATTATTATGTAATTACTACTTTTTCCCCAATATAGATATGCATTTTATCACTTTAATAGATAGTAGTAAAATTTTGCATTTGGGTTGTTGTTGTTAGGTGCCATCAAGTTGTCTCCGACTCATAGCGACCGGACGCACAGCAGAACAAAAGACCACTCGGTTTTGCGCAGCTTCGTGATCCTTGCTATACTTGAGCATTTGGGTAGAAGTTTCAAAAATATATAATAAGTTGTTGAACTGCCAAATGTGTTGTAGTATATATTTTTACCACACACACACATACAGCATATCATAACACCAAGATCTGAAGTTCACATTCCAAGTAGTGTCTTACACATTAGTCACTAAAAACAACACAATTGCAACTTCACGTTTCATTTAGAGTAAGTGGTAGGATAGTTTGAAAAAGCAACATTTCTAAGGAAAGGGGCTACTCATATTTTAAAAGTAATTCTAATTCTCTGTGTGTCATGATCAAACTGGATATAGGATTTTTTGGTCAGACCCAGGGTTAAAACAGTATATGCAGAAGATGAAGATATAAAATTGTTGCTCTTAAAAATATATGGGTCTACCTATCACCTGCAATTTCCGTACATACATTTTTGGCAACAGTATTCATAAATGATGTGAACTTCATATTTCATCTTATGAAGGGGCACATAACATCAGAGTATCTTACTTTTAGCACTTTTGAAGATCCTGGTCTACAGGAAAGGAGCTCTGGTGGTGTAGTATTAAGGCGATTGGCTGCTAACTGAAAGGTTGGTAGTTTGAACCCACTAGACACTCCATGGAAGAAAGATGAGGCAGTCATCTTCTGTAGAGATTCAGAGCCTTGAAAACCCCATGAGGGTCTCTATGAGTCAGAATCTACTAGATGGCAGGGGGTTTGGTTTTTTGGTTGGGCTGGAGGAGGGACAGGTTAATACTAGGAGGTGAATTTAAGAACATAAAATGGATTGCCAGGAGAAATGTCCAAAATCTCAGGAAGTAGCTTTTACACTTCATTGTACTTGGAGTGAGGCGAGGCAGCCTGGCTTTCACACCTAGTGAGAACAGATTGAGCTTGAATGTGCAATCCATAGATTGGCTTTAATTGGCCAAATCAGCATGACACAGTTTTCACCAGACTTGCCATCAAAATTATTTTAAAACA